CGTTCGATCGTTGCACTCGTCACACTCGTGTACGCGTTGCGTACATAGTGGCGGTGCGCACCACGGTTACATTAATTCTTAAGTAAGTATCCGATAACGCCCTTTACCTAAACTGCCTTTGATGTGGTTCGCCTTTATAGATGATTTCGACGCTCGGACGACACACACATATATATATATTTTCAAAGTGGAGAAATGCCCGCGTTGCATTACGTAAAATTACTTTTTACAGAAAATCATTTCGATCACGAAACATAGTATCGCGTTGCGACGACGACGACGATGACGAGTTTATCTCAAAGGAACTCGACGAGACTCGCGGAGACTCGAAGTGAGACGAAGCGCGATGGGATACACTATAACGAGGATGTAGAAAGGATCCCGAAGGTTTATCCTCCCTCTTTACGTATCGTAAGGATTCTCTCGTTCAATGTTCCGTTATTATTGAGAAGCTGCTTTATCGTCTATTTACTTTTTATTATCTTCGCTTATTCATATATATATAATATTATATAATATCAGCACGCTGATATAATATTACTTATGTGAATCGTGATGCTACTCGCGAGAGGGTCGGAATATAATGGAAATATTGAACAAGGCTGGACCGACGGATGGTTAAATTCTAAGTACATATCGCGCGTTGAAGAAAATCCATAAAGGGAAACCATTATGCGAAGGCTTATTAGAATGCATATTCACGGGGAACTTTTGTGAAATATACAGACCGAAAGGGAAGAAAGCGCAGATTTCTCGAGAGCTCTGCTCGTGGGCGTTTAATGGGCGGCGCTCGTAAAATACTTGAATCTCATACGAAAATTACCGCCTGACCCCGATATTTCCTCCTGAAGCTTCTCTTTTCCCCGTTATAGTTATAGTTATAGTCGCGTGCCGCCGCGAGCCCTGCGATTATTTCAGATATAAAGTCGACCTACTTGCGATCCTTTTTCCAACGTATCGTTAAGCGAAAATCATTTAATAACTACCTTCGTCGTACGGAACCTCAAAGATCGCGCGATATATTCTCGACTCGATATAAATCTCTAAGAGGAAAAATCTTACGGTGATCTCTTTCTCGATTCTTGATCAAACGTAATTTCGTCCTTTCCATTCGATATGAAAGCCTACATTATTACATGATTTCCATTAATAATAAGTCGCGTGCGTTCCAATTTCCTCATCTTTTAAAACGCTACTTTGCAATACGCGCGTTTTTTTTAGAAACACATCGTTAGACAAAACCGATTCTTCGTGGGGTTCGAATGTGTGCTCCCTGCAGGATGTGTCTTATCGAGAAGTTGCACGAATTAAGACTCCACCTCACGTACTCGAACGGACCAAATAAGGAGACACCCTCCAACAACAACTTGTCCCACAACTACACGGATACCCGGAGGAAGGGAGTGATACATGTACAAGATGTAGCGTGTTCAAGTATTAATTAAACCACTCTGGAAACTCGATGAAATGGCGTTACACGGTACTGGCAAAAGTAAAAAAGTAAAAAGTAAAAAAAAAAAAGTCTCTCCGATAATATTTAAGTGAGCGTATCGCGAATAAAAATTACCGCAACGTAAACATTTTAATGCAATTATGTACATTAGTTAGGAAATGTGTTTACTTCCCTCATCGGTCGCAACCGTATCTCGTCTCTCGAAGCGCATTAACGTAATTGCATAAAATTTATACCATATAACTGTGGTGGGAACAACGCGGTTCGCCAAGGTAAATAGAATCCGTCTCGATTTACTCGGCAAACGGAACAACAAGTTCGACCATGGAACAGCCGGACGAAATGAATAGGCATCCGGCAAAGTTGCATATTAATCGCTCTAGTATTCTACAATCTACGATATATTAGCGGATGAATAACGAATTAACATAATGTGCGCAATCAAATCCTTCCAAAGCTCGCGTCATACATCGATACCGCGAAAATACCCATTTGATGCTCAATTGCTCGCAATTTCCCGACGTTACTGTCTCCATACTGCGTTACGATATTAATCAAACTCTTAAAGAGAGAGAGAGAGAGAGAGAGAAAGTCGACGCGACGTCGTCACTGCTGTCTATCAATTATCGACTCGTATACACGACGGGGAGAAAAGGAGCCAACACTTACATCACTCGTATATACGCCGATTCACACCGTCGTATCGAAAGACGTGCTCTCGTTCTCTTCACACGCGTATATACACACACACACACACATGCATATGGTACATAACTCGACCAGTATATACGTACAGAATATACAACCAGCCACAAGACACGATCTAACGACGGACGGGTCAGGCGTCGCCGTAAAAGGCCATTAATGTCCATCATTCGTGAATTGTCGTCGTCGTACGTCGTCATTCCGTGCTGGTTCCGACGAAAAAGGCGAGATTTCCAAGAAGAATCGCAATTCGCGCACGCAACTCCCAGCTTTTCTCGAAATAATACGCGACAGGCAGGCCGCCGTGTGAAATTAAACCCACCATCAGCTGATCGTTGTTTCAACCGCCGAGGGAAGGTTTTATTTACCGTACGACGTCTGCTATTCGTATATCCATTCTCCGATAACAAGAAACGGGGATTCACGGAACGAACCCATAGTCACCTATTGACATTTCTTTGTTGGGAGAGACCGGGAAGCAATTTAAAGCGCGCACAGACACACACACACACACACACATACGTGGCGATCTGTTCGCGATTCCAAAGATTCATGGAAAACAAATAGAGGATTTCACGTCGAGAGAACGTATCGTAGCGTTCGATATTGAATGCGTGTAAATGCGCCACGTTAATGTAAAATAATTGCACGGGAAAAGATTTCGTAAAGGATACCTATAGATGGAAGGGAGTTTCGATTTTCGGGTAACTCGATGAAGCGCATCGATAACGAGGCTCTCGCGCTATTAAGAAACGACTCTTTTTCTCGACTAAAGAGCCATGACGGAGAGACGACGGCGGCGGCATGGCAGCGATACGAGAGAATATTTATAAGCTCCTCTTACAGTTAAGCGGCGTGGCGACGAGGCGACCCGCGGCACCGAGGTATGCATTTTCCGCGCGAAGACAGCGAGATTATTACCGGCGATATTTCATCGGCCGCTAAAACCAGCCGGCCTTTCGGGACGCAGCCCTTCTCTCCTCCTCTCCTTCTGCCGCTTGCATTAAAGGTCCTCGCGCAATTGTAAAATGTAACTACGCTCCGTGTAAGCGCGGTGTACGGGATTTATGCTCGACTCGAGAGAGAGAGAGAGAGAGAGAGACTGCTGCTTTTTCTCCGAAATGTAATCGCGCCGAATTTCTCGCGTTTCTCACGAGACAATATTTTTTTCAACGTGACGGAGAGAAAGAAGCCCTCCTCGCCTCGAGGGAATATATCTCGTAATCCGCGATGTGAGATCCGCGATTTTTCTAGTGATTTTAATTGTTCGACGACCGAGAAGCGGATCTTGAATATTCTCGGGCGAGAGGTCGGAATATCGAAGAGCCAGCAAATATCGTAACACGAGCTTTATGCCTCGCGGTCACGAAATTTAGCACGTTACGCCCTTGCACTCTCTCGATCCCTCCGCCGGTTACCCTAAAGCTGTTTTTCCGCTGCGATACGCGAGCGATGCGCACCAGGATCGACTTCTCTCTCTTTCTCCCTCGTGACTTCACAGACAATAAAATCTAACGCGGTGCTCCGCTTTTATTTTTGTTGCTCCTCCTCTTTTTTCGACAAAATGCTTTTTACGCGAGAGCGTAAAGTATCGTAACGTAACGTGACGATAAAACTGGTCGAATATCTTGTTCAACCGATATCGCGGGTGCCTTTATAAATTGCTACGCTATATAGCCATTAGTCAACGCGTAGCGTAAAAAAAAAAAAAAAAAAAAAAAACACCCCACCAACGTTGCACAGAACGTTACAAATATTTTGCTCTCGTATTTGCCGCCGTCGAATTACACTGTCATTAGAACGGCCATTATTCCGCGTAATGCAAAAAGCGTGCACGGCGCGAGTTACAATATAGAATTCTCGCTTACTAATTAACGAACGGCCGCGAGAATTTTAACGATAAAAACATAAACAAGAGACAAACGATAGGACGTAATTGGCATCTGTCGCGGCTCGTTTATTCGAAGACCGAGCGCGGCCAAACATTAATTTCAAAATCCACTTTTCCTCATTAACGAATTGCCAAGATTTGCGCGCGCCGAAACTTGCTCCGATTCTTTCCAAAGTTTCTATTAACAGAGCCAACAACGCGGACGTCCTCGTTACATCGCTATCGGAGGAAGGTAAACTCGATCTTTAGCGCGTGAAGGTCTACTTATAATCGGAACAAAAGTTTGAATTCGCGAAGAGAGGAGGCTCCTTTGACGGATAGATGGTTGCTCCGAAAAAAGTGTTTTGTTTTCGAATCGTAAACAGGCACGCATGCCCTTTCAAGTGTCGGCGAAAGTGGAGACGGTTTTGTTCAATCATTTGAATTTGGAAAAGATTCCATTTTTTTTGAAAAAAGAATAACGGACGAGAAAGACGGACCGTGAAGTGAATAGTAAAACGAAAGCGGCGTACTTCAGGGGGCCTCGATTTGAACACCACTGGTTCGACGAGACGCCAAGAATGCGAGAGTGCCTCAATAGCGGCGTAACACTTAACGCTACGGAGGGAAAGGCAGGCGTATGCTTTTACCTTTAGTCGTAGGTACGTGTATACGAGCGTGTCTTTGCGACGTTACATGCATGAAAGGAGAGAAGAGGAGACGAGAGGAGAGGAGAAGACGGAAGGAAAGAAAAGACTGAAAAACGAAGAGCGCGCGTCCCTCTCGTCTCGCGAAACGCGAGGAGAGACAGCCAGCCGCCTCTTCCTCTTCCTCTTCCTCTTCCACCCTCTTTTCGCCCATCGTGCCGCATCGCGGCCGCGTGTCACGACTCGGAACGACAGTCGAGAGACACTCTCTCTCTCTCTCTCTCTCTCTCGAGAAAGAGAAATTGATGGATGAATGGAAACTTACCTCGGTAGCGGCGCCGCATCCCGCGAGGATCACCGCAGCCGTGCTAAGGAGAAGTATCCAGCGTATCCTTAGTCGCATCTTTCTATTCCGTGATCCCGATGGGCCCCGCTCGCCCGGCGCCCGTTCCGTATGCACGCGCACGAATTTGACGTGAAAGGGGAACGTGAAAGGCGCGAGGCGACGTTTCAATGTTTCGACGTTCCGCGTAAGATGACGGCGCGAGGGCAGTATACTCGTAATAAACGTCGGAGACGGACGAGAGAGAGAACCACTCGAGGGAGAGGGGAGAAAAAAAAGATCTCCCGGAACAACAACGCGCGACACACACCACACTGATCGATGAACCGCGAGACACTGGGCGGCGCGACGATCGCCCGCTACCGTCGACCAGACCGACCCGACTGGCCGCCATGCTGCCTCGCTGCGCCGCGGCCGCGCGCAGCGCCATCTGCCATCGACCGATCACAGTCACCGTCAAACCGTGGCGCCAGGCGCATACCTACCTACCTACTCGCCCAATGCCGCCGAATACAAACGCTCATTCCGAATCGTGTTGTTCTTATTAAATCGCCCCTTATTATAATAGTTCAAGTGTGGAAAAAGTAATTAATTACAATATACGCGAGTCACTATTTATTTCAGTTTTCTCTATGTAAAAATAACACATACTTGACTGTATTCAAAAATGGATTTACATTTTAATGGTATTGTTATGTTATTTTTACATGGAAAACCAATAATTTTACACGCATGCATATATATTGTGATCATTTTGTATATATACATCTGGATTTGTAATGTAAGCCGGTATTTTAAAGTTGATTCCTCTAAATTTAAGAACACTCTTAAGTTATTTAATCAAGAGAACCATAGCATTTTAAGACAATTTTTAAATAAAGACAGATTATGAATAGCAGTTCTAAAGATCCTATTGTAAGATCTAGATGTTTAATGATATACCAATTTTTGTAATTACATTTTTCAGTTTTATAGACTGGTTTCTCGGATTTGAAACATCGTTTCAACTGAAATCAATATCTCAAATTAGTTTCATTATCAATTTAATAATGCTCCTCTACAGTGCAAAGTTGCACTGTAAAAAATTGCAGCAACATTACATGTTGTAACAATATTGCAGAGATTTTGCAATGATATTGCTGCAAATTCTGTGTTGTATGGAGTTAAGTGATACTAATAATAATCTTAATTAAGAAATGCAATTAAAGATGCTATTATTGATATAAAATCAACAATGAAATTATTTGAAAAATATTTAAAAATTTGTTTTAAGGACGTTCTCCGAAACAATCCATTTTCTTTAGATGTTTCTGAAACTTATAGAATAAGCTTGTTTAGTGTCCTGAACATATGTGCTTTAAAACTCAATATCCAGAGATTAAAAATCGAAATATTCCACTTTAAAGTTGAAGCGTTTAAAAAAAATATATATACACACACACACACACACACACACACAGGATCCCTATCTAAAGTTTATTCAAAAGGGATTTTTTTATTCACTGTGAAAGTTTTTTTAACAATTTTTTGAAGCAATGAGATATAAAATTTGATTTGACACAAGGAATAATATGAAATTTGTCTGAATATGGCTTCCAGTATTCATTTTTAAGAAATCATTAAGCAAAGTAACATAGTAAAGTCGTTATTTTTTCGATCGACAGCGAAAACAGGAGGCATTTTATATTGTATAAAAAACCTTAATATTTATGGAATATCTTATACTATATAAAAGTGAAATAAATTTTCATAAAAATTTTCATAATGGTGAGCACTAATATGCTCATTAGGTTGAGTACAACTGCAGTCAGAGAACGTCCTTAAGAGATATTGAAAAGAAGAAAGTGTGTGTGTGTGTGTGTGTGTGTGTGTGTGTGTGTGTGTGTGTGTGTATATATATATAGTAATTGTGTAAATTGAGAACATTTTACAAATTTAATAAGCGAAATTGTTAATTCATTAAAAGAGAAAGGTTTAGAAATTATTTAACTAATATTCAGTACAGCATATTTTCTCATATACACGTTAAAAATATATATGTTGAAATAACATTAAGTAATTTATGAATGAAATTAGTTACTGCTCTATATCATTGATATCGATAGATCCATTAATATATTTATTCTGAGATTTTTTTAGAATTCTTGTAGAATCGTTTGCCTAGGTCTTCTTGTCATCAGCAGATAAATCTTTCTCTAGGCTCTTCAGAAATCTCAGATTCTCGTTTATGCCGCGATTGTATTCATCGATCTTATTCTTCATGATTTGCACTTCTCTCTGCATGTGTTTCACCTCGTTCTGTGTCTTCTCCTTAACGTCTTTCAGCAATTTCCTGTCCTGATTATCCGTAACACCTTACTACGTCGTGGCTACTGCTTGACTCTAAAATGACGTTTTACAAAAATATTTTCATCACCTGCTTGTAATAATATTCCGTTTCACACGCAATGTCGCCGAACGACGTATGATCCATCTTCGAATCGTGCTTCTTTCTTTCATTAAGATGTCTAAAGCTGGAAGGAATAGTTCATTTTTTATATCACAGCGTTAGGAAAATAACCCAAAGCATGGAAAGCACAGTGGAATATATTATCGAATTAAACACATTTTGAATTAAATACCTATATCTGCAAGTTTTTCTGAAAACACCTCGGAGCATTGTGGTATTGATAAAAAAATTTTTATGTAGAATGTATATAAACGCGAATTTGACTTATTAAACGGAAAAATATTTAACGAGGTTGTATGAAACGGACAAAACAAACTAGCATCAGAATTGGCGCGCCCCTCGAAAATGGCTCAATGTCCAAGAAGAGGTTAAGCAACAATGAAAAATACGTTTTATTTTCAAGTATAATCTTGCAGACACTTCAAAGTACAAAGTCGATAATCTCGTTAAAAGCAATCCATACAACATATAAGGAAACACCATTCAAATTTAAGTAACATATATATTAAGAGCATTACATTTAATATCGATATAATGTAACAGTTTATACAGAAGACTGTGATACTCTATTAGTTCTACTATTTTCGAACTATTTTCTTACATCAAAACCAATAATAAAGCCGCCGATCAGTCGGAGTATCACGCTAATAACTTTGTTCACTCTTTCTGATCCATGTCTGTAATTCGCTTTTTGTGACGGTTAATAGCCTCCTGATGACGCTTGATCTGTTCCTCGTGGAATGAGATCTCATCGTGCAAGCTCTCTCGCATCTTTTGTAATTGTTCCTTTTGCTGAAATAACATTTCAGACTTGTGTAAACAGATGAGATCGTTGATATGATAAACAATTAATAAGAAATATATACTGACCAGATTATAGAAGTATTGGTCCTCATGGGCAGCTTCCATCTTTCCGAAAGAACCGCCAGCATCACGAACAGCACCACCGCCACCTCCTCCCTTGCCAGCACCTGAACCACGTTCTCCAACCATTCTCACTTGACTGTAACAAAGTACGTTTTAAATGTAACAATGGCTACGTTCAGCAGAAATAGTAGCATTGCAACTGTTGTAAAATTCTTTATTACAATTGATCTTGCCCTTAATTTCTCATTAGATCTAAATGTATAAACCAATCAATATTTAAGAATTTTACAACAGTTGCAAAACTGTTTTTTCTGCTGAACACAGCCATTAGCAATTATTGTAAGATTCTTTAATATGATTGATTTTTGTCCTAGTTTCTTGCTGGATCTAAAGATATGACAATCATATGAATGAAATGGCAGCTTTTCCTGCATTTGCAATTGCATCGCATTTTGCAAAAAGCTCTGCTTAGAAATATTATTCAGGGGTTATGTCAGCTAAACTTTCCGCCTAATTATTACATAATTTTGATATTGCATCTACTCAAGTCATATCACAGATCTCTGCCATGCTGAAAAAATACTATTTATGTGTGAGAAGATAAGATATTCCTAAATTCGAAAAGAAGAACACGTCAGTATATTACTGCGAATAAAGACGATATCTGGATCTATGTTTGTGATGGGAAAACGCCGGGTATGAAGTATGAATTAAAAACGATCGACTAATTCGACTTTAAAGCTGCAGAATTCTTCCGATACCTTAACGCAGAGATGCTTCGCGAAAACGTCGTAATCGTTCGTTGCATTTTTCCAATCACGAAATATTCTGGATCTGAAGGTTATCGAAAATCTGGCAAATCGACAGGACAAACTGATGAATGAATCATGAACGAAACACTATTCTTAGAACGCGAAACTCAGCTACGACCAGCATTGTGGCGCTTGTGTCGGGAATATTGTGAATTCCATAGGTTTAAACGCAATTACTTTCTCGGAACGAGTTCAATCAAATTGCAATTAACCTGATTACGTAATATTTGTATTTTATTAATTTTTTGAAGATTAATTTTTTGTCCAAGAAATTAAAAGAAAAATTAAATTATAAGAATAACGATTTATATGTGTAATTAGAAACTTTACTGTGAGAAATTCTGTCAAATTAATTTAATCCGAGGATTTAATTGATTTGATTGATTATTACCTGTTTCTATCAATGTAGATTAACTTTAATTTCAATTCGACTCCTTCATTTTTTTCTAATTTTAGAATTAGAAAAAGATGAAGAGTTAATTGAACATACATTGATAAAAACGAGCATAATTAAAGCCACATCCGGATTCGACCTGTAGTACTCATTGACTTGATCCAGCATCAATTGTTTCTTGAGCTCGGACGTTTTCAGTTCATTAACGGCAGCCTGTTTCTGCAACTCCGCGCGCTCCAGTTCGATGTGCAGCATCCGCAGCTTGATCTCGTGCTCGCGTTGGGTAGACTTGAAGATCCACGTCGCTCTTTGTACCAATTTATCTTTGTCGCAGGTTGCTGGACCATTGTTCCACTCGAGTTCGTTCATCGTGTCGTTGTGTTCCACCGCTCGAAAATAAAACATTTTGCTAAGATCTCGTCGTCGGAGTAAGATTTGAAGTGAACACGATGACTGCGTTCAGCGGACTCAATAGTTGAGTGAGTGCTCATTGTTATTGATGTATTCTTTCAGAAAATGCTGATTGGATGATCTAAGAGAATACACCAATAACATCGAGCTGTCGAGTCCGCTGAACACAGTTAATGGTCACGTTCAGCGAACTTATAGAGCGAGGGTTCACTCTCTAAGAGGCTCCAGAGAATTTCAATCTATCAGAAATCATGTATTGTGGAATATACAGTTTCTGATGGGTTGAAATTCTTATTCTCTGTTCTCTGTTGCCTGTTCCTTTTATTGTGCGGAGCTCCTAACAACACAAAGTCGACTATAGCTTCTAGACGTCTGAAAAATGGACGTCCGTAAGTCGACTTTAGACGACTTGGAGACGGGAATGTCCCGCTTTAAAAACGACTGTAAGCCGACTTTAAGTCCAACCATTCTAGGCTGTGGTCTGATTCATGCCCACAACGCTCATGAACCATAGTTCAAACAACAAGGACGAAATGATTTCACATTTAAGCTTTGTGAGCATAAATCGCACTAGACGTCTTAAAGACGACATTGGAAGGATATCTGTACCAAGTCAACTTACAATCGACATATCGACATTTGTACTGTTAGGGCTGCTATTGGTGTATTCTTTTAGATTTAAACATCCGATTGGATCTCACTGGCGGATGGTCATGAAATCATGGCCTCCCCCTGGAGTCTTCTTTTTTTCAAAGTATTCGTAGCAAAATGTTATATATACATTTTCAATATTTCTGAAATGTTTAATCACAATTTCAATATTCCTAAAATATTTTTTAACTTAACTCCTAGATATAAAAAGTATAGATTCAGTTATATTATTCCTTTGTATTAATATAATTTGAAATAAAATATGTTTGAATTATGTATTTGTATGAATTATATATTTAATATATGAATGCAAGGTGTGAATTATATGTTTAAATAATACTTTTTCAATATAATAATTTAATATTCTATTTTTTCACATATTTGACCTTAACAAAAATTTTGTTTGTAGCGAACCAATGGTTCCTCCTTGACAAACTTTTGAATCCGCTAATGAACGATCCAGAAGAATATATCAATAACACCGAGCGCTCGACTCAACTATCGAGTCTGAATGCATTGAAAAGTCCAAGTACCATTCTCGACGCGGGACGTCGACAGACTGTCGGGGCAAGTGATTCTGTGCTCAAGATCGACGGGCTCGCCTTGGATCTTGATCCTGGGACGCTTCTGCTGCAAGAAATAGTCCTCCGACACTTGTCGCGACAGTTCGCCGTGATTACTCTCGTCCTCGGTATCGCTATTGACCTCAATCTTAATCTCCTGTTCCGGTTCTAAACAAATACTTCTATAATTTTACGCAAAACAATTATTCAAAATTAGCATTTCCCGGAAGCTCGGGGGGGAAAAAAAAAGAAAAAAGAAATCGCGATGTTCGATATATTTCAACCTGGCGTTTCCGTGGGTAACGTCAATTTATCCAGGATCGCCTGTATCGCCATCCGATTCAGTGGATTCTCATTGTCCTGACTGTCGTCCGAACGATCGGTGTTCTCGGAATCGTTTTTGCGCACGCTTTCCATCAGCCGCCACACTTCAATCGAGAGATTCGGCGGACGAGATTTGGCGGCCACATCCGGTCCCAAGGTTCGTACCTGCGCGTGACCAAAGGCCGGGAAGAAATAAGAAAAAGAAAAGAGAGTTTAGAATGGTGATCAACCGTTCCATATTTAGGAAGGCCAGTCCCGAATTTTAATTCCTCTTTGTCTCACTTTAAAAACATTCCAAATTAACGATACTATAAATTGCCCCTCTTTTAAATGTGAAAATAATAAGCGTAAAATATAATTTTCAATTGACGTGAAAAAATTTCGACTTTTTATTTAAAAACTCAGGTATCTCATTTATAAAATACATTCGGGAGGAAAGTATTTAATTTAAAAAAATCAAATATGATGTTTCGTGACTTGAATAATGTAATTTTTGTTGTAAATCTCATGTAATATTACCTATTAAGTGTTGTTAATTATTTTTTTTTTACAAATATGATTGTTGTTCGTGTACTTCATTGACGATTATAAAAAAAATGTTTATCCATTAGAATTTAATTGCAACATCGAATTTTGTTTAAATGTCTCTCTCTTTCCTTTTTTAAGATCACCTTAATTTAAAGATGGAAGGAAAAATGCCTCTCGAATGATATTTTACGCAAGTCTAAACGCAGTCACACCTTTTCGGCGTACGAGAACATCTCCATCCTCGCCTGCGCCTTCATCCTCCGCCACTGTTCCTTGATCCTGGTAATGTCCCGATCTGCCGAGAATTGGCCGCGGAACGCGCAGTAAATCTTTTGCCAGGCGACAGATTTCTTCGCGGACGCGGCCGCGTCGATCTTCTTATTCTCGATTGCGCTCACATGATGCTTGATCAGGGAGAACAGGGCGCTCTTCTCCTCGGGGATCCAATTCTGCGTCCTCTCCCTTTTCTTCAGCAGCACGGTGGTCGTTTCGCTCGTCGTCGACATTCTCTTGCCTTTTTCGCGCGTTAATTAGCGGTAATTTAGCTAATCTAACTAGTCCAACCCACGTGTATACAAAACATCTGTTGTCGCGCATTGATCCATCACTGTTTCGCGGCCCCCCGTTTGCTTGTTTAAGCGCGGTTTTAGAACCGTCAGCTGTTTAGTTGCTACCGGAGCGGCGCGTCTACCGAGTGTCACGAAAGTCACCGCGATTATATCTAGTCGGAGTTACTGTCAACTATTCGTAATTATTCCTCTCCGCTTGAAAGGTTTATCCGTGGGATAATAGCTCTCTCGTCGTTTTAATTCCGCGTGCGAAGAGCCGTGAGTAGAGTCGAGCGGTTTTTACACGCGGATTGTCTCGATGCTTACAACATTCTCGTTTTATAATTTTATAATCGGACAGAATTTATGAAACGCTTTCGTGTTTTACACGCGAAATATTTCGGTATATCGGATTAGATCCGCGGCATAAGGCACGTAAAACGCGAACGTCGAGATAACGCAATGCGAATAACGTCGGATTAATTCAGCGGAACGTACGCCCGAGAGATAGAGAGAGAGAGAGATGAGCGCAGCCGACTTAAACCCGACTAAGAGACGACTAAACGTCGGCCATCTTGGCACGGTACTAGCTAGAACGCGCTCGATACTAACAAATCCTCCGTTCGTGAGGTGGGGATGAGAGAGGAAGCCTTCCAACTGAATGAGATGAGGAGGACGGGAAGGAGAGTAAGAGAAAAAGAGGGCAAGAGGGAGAGAGAGGGGGAGAGAGAGAGAGAGAGAGGGAGGGAGAGAGAGAGAGAGAGAGATCTCCGACGTTCCGCGCAACGCAAACATTGTTTCGTTTCGTTTCGTTTCGCGACCTGTCGTGGAATCATATTGCGCCGATTCCAATATTTCCATCGTTTTCCTGTGAACGCGATGATTCTCCACTCTTTATCGCCCGCTTACTCACTCCCTTTCCCCTCTAATTCTCTGCCCTATGCTCCGATAATTGGTCGTAGAGGATTACATTATCTCCAGCTCCCAAATTCGATTGTGCTCCCAAACCGAATTCTCAGGGAGATAATGCTTAAATACTGAGAGAAAAATATACTAAATTTTAATAAATAACATTTATTTACGGAAAACAAATATTTATTAAATAAAGATAATAATAGTTAAGCCAAATTAATGGTTCTGGTACCAAATAAATATATGTTTACAGTAAATATTCAACTGGTATTATTCAAGCAAATATTTGTTTAAATTTAGCACATTTTTCTCTCAGTATACAATATATAAATAAATTTAAATAAAATAAGATATCATAAATAAATAAATTAATGTGTATATAGACAGACAAATATAAAATAATTGAAAGAATAATTGAAGAATAAATAAAATTTGTTCATGCTTGAACTTGTGTGTCTACACATTCTCGGTGTTCTCCTTTTGTTATCAATGACGAGATTTATCTACTCACGTTTTAATAGTACGGTTCATACGATCGAAGAACGTAGAGTGTCATTTCTGCTTTCTCGTAAATCTATCAAGAAAACTAACAGAAATGTACAACTATAATCTGTGTTTACAGTATTCTTTATTCCAGTTTTATGTTGTCGGTTTGCGTAACGCACGAGTAAACTAATTTTGCGTGTAGATTAATTTGACTTAACATTTCTGCGAGAAGAAGTTTTAATTCTCCTTGAGAAAAATAAGAAA